AACATAACCTTCAAGAGTATATTCCTTTTTAAAAGGCCGGCAGCACACCTGCAATGCCGCTGGTGTTGTGGGTGATCATGGGCGGCGGTTGTCACTTACCATCAGGTGAGCCGCATGCTCGTTTGCCCCCTGTGTTGTAAAAAAAAAAGTGTCACAGGTTATTCTACCTGAAAAAAACCGCTTTTCAATAATAGTACCAAACAAAGAGTGGTTAGTTCCTTTCGTCCCTAGGATGATGTAAGATGCAACTAATGGGATAAAAGACAAAAGAAAATTCATCAGTTCGAAACTGGATACATGGATAACAGAAGAATGTTTTGCTCGATTAATTAATATTTTTCGTTATTTTAATCTTGAATATGGTATGACCCAATAAATTGACTGTATTATTTGTAATTTTAATAATTATATATTAATATTAAGTAAATATGCTGGCTACTACAAAATATTCTATATGACATTCATGTCACGAACATGAACCATGTTTTTGTTCATAATTAAAGGAATTTCGTACGCCACATTCTAGTGAAGAGTGTGAACCATATTTAAATATTGTGTACCATCCTTTACCACTATTCAAACAAAATAAAGTTATATTGCATTTTAAAGAATAAAAAATCTTTTAAAATCCTTAGTAACAGTACACTAATAATCTCTTACCAGGAAAGACCATTGCCCAAAAGGACTTTACATGTTAACATGCCAAAAATTACAGAAGGAACAATAAGGACACTAGCCCGAGAAACTAATCAGTAGATACAGCAGCAGCGACAGAAACCAAATCAAATTGAATCGGTCCCTCAGTTTAACACAATGATTGGCGCATTAAAATTGGCATGTTGCGTATTTTGATAACCCTAATTGGCGCTTCCTCAGGTGGGGAGGGACGGTGGGAGCTGTTGTTTGTTTGTGTGCACTGTGTAGTGTAAGAAATAGGGTTGTGCTTCACCACTTAATGCAATACCCCGGTTATTTTATGAAGTTACAGGCGTTCATAAGTTAAATCAATAATTTACTTTTACACGGACAGTATGCTTATTTGCCATGGTCACAGGTTATATCATCATAACTGTCCAATGCTAAACATAACCCTGCCCCTTGAAGGGTGTTCCCAGTAGTTGGCAACCGCAGTTGGGCTTTGGAGATGTTTTAAGAGGAACACTGCTACCCATTTGTCGCCTTTCCTTAATCGCCTTTTACGACACCCACTGGAAAGGCAGGAGGGGCCTATTCTATGCCGGGACTACATGGCCATATAAAAGTAATATATTACTCTCGAATGCTTTCTTTGTAAACTTTCACTGCATCAAATCTTTGATGTGAACAGTTTCATTCAAGAACACGGTTGTAAACCGTTATGTATGAATTCATACGAGACTAATTTGTAGGAAACCCATTAAATGGCCAATACGGATCACCACTTCAATTAAAGTACGGGTCAAGCTGGTGGTTTAAAGCGCGCTTATTGAAACTGCAAAACGGTCGCTTCAGAGAAAATAACAAAGCCATTAGGATTGTACAGGGCAGGAGTCTAGGGTTTGTTATTTTTTTTGTAGCAGAAACATCTTTTACTTCACAGCTTTGTATTCAACTTGCATACAATTGCTAATCGCACGTATTTGCAACCGACTTAAAAAGAAGATTCTCGATTCGATTGTATTTTTATTGTTTGTCACTTCATAATTCCATCAGTTATAAATTGGTTTGTAAGATTGTTTTATCTGAAAGTTTATGCTTACAGATTGATCCCGTAAAAATTTTATAAAAATCGGTTCAATAGTTTACTTTTCAAGTCAAAATAACTGGTTTTACCACAATCATGTCGGTTTTTTTTTTGTAGAACACGATCTTATTTAAATTTATTCCGGTACGGGCCTTAACGAATCACTAAGATTTGAATGAAAGGTTGAAGATCGGGCAGTTAATATAATTGTTTTGTGTGCGAGCATAGCACTCTGATATCGAATGAATGAATAAAAATTCTTTAGTGTTCCCTTCAAAGAATGATACAGATCAAAATTAATCAGAAAATGAGCAAGTCAAATTAAATCATTTTGACACACATTCTAGCCCCTCTCCAGGAGCCCTTGACACGGCCCTGTTTCATTCAACATACTAATTAGCGCAGAGGTCGCCTTGAGAGTATTGTGGCGAAATGTGGACTAATGTTTTCGCGTGACACTTTTCAGAGCTGCATGAATGCTAGTCAACATAGAAGCTAAAAACATATAAAATACTCCACTACTTCTTTCAACAAAAGATTGAAATCTCACCATTTAACTAATAATACATGATAATATTACATTACATGCAGTAAAGAATAAATATAAAAAAAAAATACAGTAGTAATAGTTACGTTCCAGTTTTGCAAACAAACTTATAAAGATTGTCCTGCTATATAATTAATTGTATTGTTCTTTAAATTTATATGTAATTATATTATTATTAAAAAAAACACCACACATGTCGAAAAACAGGAAGTGTTTGAGTTAATATCATATTTTCCCATTGAAAATAACAACTTTAGAGAATTAATTCTAATGTTCATATAGATAGTCCACTTGGAATGTCACCACATGGGAAATAATAGAAACAGATATATTAGCATATATATACTTGTAAATTATTGTATGTGTATTCAAGCATCCATGTTAATTATATGGTTTTTGTCCATTATTTCATATGCGTGGATTTTAGAAGTAGGAAATCCAATTAAATATACTATTTCTAAATGATATATCAAGATGATACATACAACAGTTTTTAAATTATATCTTCAGGAACACCAACTGTAAAATCCACATTGAATTTGGTGGAATAGTTATTGCATAATGCCAAAACAAACATACAGACAAATAAGTTTGTAAAAATTATTATTTTAGCATATATTGGTCTTATTAAGAACTCATATATTATTTTTCGTAAATGTCTCCCATGTACAGACATTATCTAGTTATGATTATCATTATAAAATTTTAGTATATAGGTACTTATATGTACATATGGGATGGAGAAATAGGCTACATTTTATTCCAGTCATTAAACATTTCCCAATCACAAAAATGATGTTGCCAGTAAAAGCTAGTGCAAAATAAGTGTAACTCAAATTCTTGACGTGTGGACACTTAACAATACTATAGACTTACTATGCTATTTATTTATCGAGCAACATATGAGTGTTCCTCATTTGAACTGGAATTTTAATTAGAAGTCAAAATGAAGAATGTATATAATAATTAAACTATAAAAAATATAATTAAAATAAACTGTATATTAATTTACTAATTATTATTTAATTAAATGGCACTTTGTCATTTGTAAATAAAGTTTAAGTAAAATGTACATCAGTATCATTTTTTATATAATGAATGGAGATGTCGGTAGGGGCCGCCCTAGACGGACATATGTTGACCAAATAGATGACGTGAAGAAGCGAAAGAGGTTTGTTTGAATCGAAGCATTTGGCATTCCATTGTTTCTGCCTACCCTAATGGGAGACAGGCATGACAGATGTGTATGTATGTATAATTTTTTATTTACTTTTCGGATAATTGCTACATTCGAGTTCTGTTTTAATTCAAATAGCATCATTTTGTTAAAAATAATGACCAAATATAATAAACAATATAGCAATTTTTATAAAATAAAACACAAAATATGCTAGCTGCCCCAATGGGAATGACAGACATGTATGTATGTAAATCAAACGTTTAAAAATGAAAGATTCACAATAGCTACTAGAAGTTAAGTGGCCACTTCATGTATTCACACAGTGATTCTTTTAACAATTATTATAATCAATTGAAATAACATTAAGTAATATAGAAGTACTGGTACAAATAGTGTTTAACATATAGTTACAAGTTTTACAGCATCATTTATGCATATACACATATATTTTTTTTTTTTATGTAGTTACTTTTTTTTGTAAAATTTGTAGAGAAAATAAATTTGATCTTATCTTAAACTTCCTGTCAGTTATAGTTAGAATCAAATAGCAAAATATTCTATTGTTAAAACCCTTTTTTTTACATTAAAAATATTCATTTCATATGGTTTTCAAGTCTCTTGTTATAAGTTAGTATCATCCTTACTAATATTACAAATGTAAAATCCTTACTAATATTATAGTGCCTAAATAACTTAACTTAATGTGCACCAAGAGGAAAAGGATTGTTAGCAATGGAGTTTGACAACCCCATTGCTAGCAATATGCCCCATTAGGTCTACCTCCATGTGGTTCCCCCTGGAAACTATTGTGAACAATTCTTGTTGAATTCGTCATGATGCGCTAACTGACCTGCTTCATCCTCACCTATCATCCTTCACTGATGCTCCGCTGGTGTATACCATTAGCGCAGGTGGAGTTACCATTCCATTATCACCCATTAAAAAAAATGTGCACCAAGAACTTGAGTAAGAAAATCAGTGAAAAAAAATAAAATAATAAAGTATACAGAAAATAGTTAATCTCAAAAAACTCAAGAATTTCTGGAATTCATAAACAAATAAATAAACATAACAATTAAAGATTGAAATACAGAACAGGATAATTAGCATTTATATAACTATTGCCTTAATTAGGTGTCATCAAGAAATAAGATTAATTTAATACAACAATTTTATTCCTATTTTATTAAGGTAATATCATAGCTATTTTATTTAATTAATTACTATAACTATTGAAATGTAAATCGAACTAAAATCCTTGAACAGAGCATCACAATAAATTCAATTAGCTTCAAATTAGACAATAATAAATCGTCACAGAATTAGGGAGTGGTCGCAGCGAGGTTAATACTGAGACATCCTATTACATAAAATTGCCACCAATTTCTATCAGGACAACGCTGATAGCGGCACAGAAGTAGATATGATACAATGTTTATATTTATCTTAGCTCGGCGGGAGGTAAAAGACTGCAACAAGTGATATCAACAGCGATCGCCAAAAACATCAACATTTAACAACTTTTAGAAATAATAAGTGGAAATACTTACCGACGCCATAGCAATCTTCATTTTCAACTTTCTCCCAAACGGTCATGGTGATAAAACACTGGATATATTTTTTATTTCTAACCGATAACTATGAGGAAACTCGTCATTTTTATCTCGCACTAAACTGAAGTGAAGAACTAAAGAACGCTGTTGACAGCTGTCACTGCATCTGTCAAAACAATTTTGTCTTTGGTTAAAATGGCGTAGGGTAGAGCATAACGTCGATGTAAATAGAATACAATCGATGCATTGGTAGTCATAGTTTATGGTATGGTATCGATTACAATAATTCTATTACAATACAATAATTGTAATACTTCTCATTTGTATATTACAATACCCAAACTAGATATACCCAAACGTATATAAATACATATAAACATAAACAAGAATTTTATAATATGAATAATAGAAAACATTAAATATTTGAATATTTGATACTATCCCAATCTGCATATTTTACTTTTAGAACAAAATCATATTCAAAATAATAAAACATTTTAACTATGTCGAAAGTTAATACCTTCTTATTGCGGATACTGTTTATGGGCTATGGATAACTACACCTTTGGTGCCTATCTACATAGAAATCATAATATTGTGAATAGCTACAATATTGTGTGTATATATAGGTATAATTGGTAAGTAATTTGTTAATTAATATTATATTTAATTATACTAAAAAATATTATCTACCTATAAACGAATTCATCAATCTTAGTATAAAAAAAAAATTCAATTCACCAGAGGGAGACTTGATACAAAAGTCTTTTGCTTGGATATCTCTGTCCCATTCGTGTCTCTATCGTGAAGCAGTTGTGTTTGCATGGGTGTGTTTCGATTTGAAGTGTGTGAAATAGATAGCTGGTAGAGAATGCCATATGGCATTAAGCTCGCCATTTGTACAAAATTTTATTGTGCAATAAAGAATAAATAAATAAATAAATAAATAGCAGTGAATCTACAGAGCACAGAGGAATAACACCTGAGTCTTCAGTAATGGCAACGCATGGGGGTATCATGGGCGAAACACGATACTCTGTTATATCCATGGTTCTGCTCATGTCTATAGACGACGGTTACCACTTTCCATCAGTTGGGCCGTCAGCTTGTTTGCCTGTTATTTGTTCGTTAGCTTATTTGTAAGTTAAATATAAAAACCCTCTATTTTTTGTCAATATAATTTGAATTTTTTTTTATATAAATTTCTTTTTTGCATTTGATAGAATTATATTTTAATTTTGTCACGTTTGAACTTGCTATTTTGTGTAATAATATAGATACTTAATAAAAAAGAAACAATTTTATCATTTTGTTTATAATAATTTATGTATTTGACTAAAAGGAATGGTAACTAGTCTAGTTAAAGCACAAGAGTAGAACTAATAAACTGACCAAAGCGAATTTATTATAATCCTTTCTAACTCTTAACAATCTGCATACGAAGTGTACCATTGCTATTTGTATTTATTCAGGCGTTTGAATCGACTGAGTGCACGGTATAAATTCACTTCAAACATTATAATTAAGTCAGCTTAAAATACAGTTTTGCCTCTATTTTAGAACAATACAAATGTAAACTAGTGCTTTGTAAACTTTGCTTCTAATTTATTATTTAAATGTCAGTCTATATAATAGCATAAGCATTCGTTCATCCCAGCGCTCTCGAAATGACCTATCTCCATGTGATTTAAATATATTCTAAATTGCATTATTTACTAAACGGAAAGTTTGTGCAAAAGTCATTGGCCTGGATACCTCTGTCCCATTCCTGTTTTTGCCGTGAAGCAGTTGTGTTTGCATGGCTGTGTTTTGGTTTAAACGGTAGGATATAGCAATGAAATTACGAGGTAATGAAGCATAATACCTTAGTCTACAGGATTGGCAACGCATGAAAGTTATCTTGAGCAACATCGTTTACTCTATCTATATGCCCATGGTATTATTTATGTCTATAGCTTGTATGCCATTCTAAGATGAATAAATACAAAAACAAAAACAATGGCACTCCGGGAGTTTCGACAGAAAAATTCAAGAATTACGTGTCTATTTAAAATTATCAGAGGCGACGGTTATGGTAACGGTAATAGCGTCACGACTTCAATGGTTTCTTCCACATCTCAAAAAATGCGCAACATCCCTAAAGAAATTGCCACTTTAAAAAAATTTAATACGCTTATGGCGGTCACCTATTTCAGTGACTATTTACTTATGTATTTAACCCTTCTTTGCATGTTTTTTTTTTTATTTGTAAAATAAATCAAGGTGATATAATTCATGTTCAAAATTAAAGGAAAAATGGTTGAAAAAATTTGATAGGTTTGTTTTTTTTTTTCCTGCAATGGACATTAAAAACGTATCAACTTAAAATGGACTTGGTCTTTTATATAATTTTTAAGCATTCAACGTTATGATGGAAATTACCACCATTATGCAAAGAAGGGTTAAATTAAATATTTTGGTACATACATCGCTATCTAATGGTACCTACATTACATAGGTAGGTATTGGTTACATACCTGAATTATCCTCAGAGAGCGGCTTATAAATCAAGTTGACAAATTGTTCAAGACACAAAACTGGACTGCTCCCACCTTTGTTCAGTGATTCATTCATTATTTAGAACATGACCTCTCTTGCCCTATAGTACTAATTTTCAACTTCTCCAGTTGTTAAATTAAGTCCGATATATATTATTCTCTTTAACATCTAGTTAAGTACTTTTCTAAAATTCTAATTAAGCTTTCACTTTACCTTTACGTAACGTTTTTACTTTACTGCGTGTGACTTTACGTTTAAGTAAATATACTTACTACCTAGTCAGTTACAAATATTTTTGTTTTTTATACAACTTAGATTGGCAAACAAGGTGACGGCCCACCTGATGGAAAGTGGTAACCTTCGCCTATAGACATGAGCAGTACCATAGACGTAACAGAGTATACTGTTTCGCCCATGATACCTCCCATGCGTTGCTATTCCTGAGGACTTGGGTGTTATTCCTCTGTACCCAGTAAATTCACGCCATATCCCACCCTTCAAACCGAAACACAGCCATGCAAACACAGCTGCTTCACGGTAGAAACACGAATGGAACAGAGGTACCCAAGCAATCGACTTTTGTACAAAGTCTCCCTGGTTTCATTTTGATTTTCACATTTATAATAGTAAATAAAGCGTTTTTTTTATTCTAACAATATTTAAAAAATACATTGTTTATTTTTGTTTTTATTTTTATTCAATAAATTTATACGAGCAAATCAAAGCAAAACAAAGTTTATAGTACTTGAGATATTTTATCGTAATATACGTTTCATACCTCGAATCATTTTATGTGAACAATGAACACAATTTCATCTCGACGAGATTTCCACGGAAGGAATTATTACCTGCGGGTCATTTCATTGTTAGGACGCAGGTAGGTAGATTTGATAAGGGCTGCAACCGTTTGACGGTCCGGTCGTTCAGATCAATAAATAATGGAATTAGATATTTTGTAAAATTAAATCGTTTTAGAGAACAGAGACATGGATGTGCGACATTTTTAATAAAACTTAATGTAAATATAAACGAAAGAAAAATTTATTCCAATCATAAGAATTGTTCCTACGCCCAAACCAGGGGGTTGACAATGGCGAAGTTGTTGCTACGTTGGCAGTAGCCAACTCACCTGCCAAGTTACACTTTTCTGATGTTTTAAGAGGAAGGCAGAACGAATATATTGTAAATGCACAACTTACAATTAGATATCAATAGATCTTCATGATAAAGTCAGTAAGACGTAAGTGTGACCTGGTACTGTAATAACTCACGTAAATAGTTTCTACACGAAATAAGATTTTTCTAATAAAATTAAACTGTACTTATACATAAATGTGTAAGTTTTTATAGAAATTTTAATTTGAATTTATAATTAAATAAAATTAAATTTACATTATATTTTATCTTAAATCACATAGGCTAAGTTACAGGATACAGTTGTTAAAAACATAATTTGCGGAAAATTGTTATAGTAATTTCCATTACGTAGCTGCCAAATATAAAAATAAAAAAAAAAAATATGCCTTTGATCGCGCCCTGTTTAAACATTTCTCTCATTTCGTAGCTGGATGTTGGCCAAAATTGACTTTGATATTAAACCTCGCCCTCAGAATTGTAATTTGTTGAATTCTCTTACATAGTTGGGTCAATATTTCAGACTCGTTGATTGACTTTATATATTTTTCAATGATCACCGACAGACTACATATTTTATTGAGTAGAAAGTAGATAAATATCTTTTCATTGATTCCTCCTAAATTTTTCGCACAGCAAAAAAAAAAATTCGTTATAAAATATAAAATGAACTTAGATTTATAGAGTATTAATACATATAAGGTGCTTTTAAGTCCCTAATGATATTATAAATAACTGGAAGAAAACTCTATCAGAGTTAAGCTCGCCTTTGTACTTTTGTTTACCTCTGTCATATTTTTATAACTAATATGTACAATAAAGTATAAAATAAAAATAAGTATAAAATAAATTTTAAAGGGAGTCTCTGTTTGTTCGTTACATTATAACGCCTTAACGGCTTATCCAATCACTATAAAATTTGGTATATATATTCTATATTAAATGAGATATAGGCTATATTTTATCCCGGCCAGTAAACATAGCCTAGTCATAAATGAAATATTTAGACATATACTTATTTACAAGCACTTTACTAAACCTGATCTCAATTATGTTATTTAAATGGCAAACGAAACCGTTCGTAACTAAATCTTATAAAATAATAAAGTGCGATTTTTTTTTTTATTTTTTTTTTTATACAAATAAATTTCATGTGCATTAATTAAAAATAAGAAGGTTTCGGATGAATCCGAATGTGATTGAGTATTATCTATAAATCGAATCGAATGTCTATTACATTCGATTTATAAAAATAAAATAAAACGTATTTATGTAAAAATTGCACTACCTATAGTAGCTACAAACGATTACACTACGATATGAGGAATCAAAAAAGTTATAATAAAAATTTGCATAAAAATTTAAATTTACAAAAAGTATTTATTTATTTACAGGATTACTAACATAAGATACAGCTACAATAAAGCTAAGCTTTAATACAATACACTGGCAGCTCAGATCTCACCGTTCTTACAT